GCCCACGCTGCGCCTGGGCTTGGACTGGTCCCGCCGGCGCAGGGTAGCAGGAAACTCTCCGCACACTCCGTAAATGAAGATTCTTAGCTGCAATTTACTCTCATCTTCCACTCAACTTTGTTCATATTACACATAATCTTCACATTGGATAAGAATCTGTTAAATGTATCAGAGCTGAGGTTAATTATGAAGTACAGAAAGACCATGTTTTTAAAAAAATTTAATATTTCCTATATATTTCTTCATCCCAAACCAGGAAATGCTTATCATGCCACACATCTTGGTACAGCTACTCTTTCTTCTTCACTTTCTCCAACTGATACCTTAGATATTTTTGCTGACCTTCAAAGAGCGATGAAGGGCTTTGTTTTAGAAAATGATCTTCATATTGTCTACCTGGTAAGTTGTTTCAGCTGCTATCTTTGTGAAATAAAGTATAAATAGACGTTTGACTGTCTAAGATACCTGAGGGACTGTCTTGCTTGTCTAGCTTGATTAGGTAACTAGTAGTAGGCGCAGAGAAGCAAGAAGAGAAGTATTTCAATGATAAACTAACTGTTCCAGTGACCTTTTCCTGTATTTTCTCCAGCCTCCTTTCAAAAAATATTTTGAGGCAGTTCCTAAAAGTATTTATTTTACAACATATATAAATACAGCAAAGGTCAGTAATATTACAAAATTAAAGATAAATCATAATGTAAAACTCATGCAAAGTTTAAACAGACCTACTGTTAGGTCATATTCGATTGCTCTTGCCAAGTCCAGTTCTGAATTTCCTAGCAACTATAGCAAAGAGAGACACTTGACTTGCTTCACTGTTTGTGAGATGAAAAATATTGGGTTTTACTTCCTAACAGAAATTTAGACCTAAAGTGATAATCTGTAACTTACATTTTTAATATCTGTATAACTAGAAATTTTATTTTTTTGCATTTATCATCTTTCATGAATAAAATAAAGAATTTGATAATTTGGAGAGCATTTGAGGTTATATTCTCTCACAAGAACCTGACCAGAAATTATTTGTTTATTAAGAGCAGATTGATGCACTTTGATAAGTAAATAATGGGGGATAAAATTGACAGTTACATTAGAGTGAAGAAGACTTATCAAGAAATCTGCTTTAACACAAAATGTTCTACAGAGCTGAGAAGAAATGTCTAGCTTGCCATTTTTTCCTTTTATAGTTTATTTTAAATAAATCAAGAGAAAAAGGTATATGAAATTATATTTCTTTTATATATACTCTCAGAGTTACCTTTATTGGCTCTCTTTCTGTGTGAATTGCTGTTTGGGGTTGCTCGGTTATACTCTGAAGAGCTAGCTCTTTTACCATTTAGGTTGTTTGCTAGCAAAGTTTCTGAATTTGTCTAGAAACTTCTCTTTTACATCTTCAGTTTTGAAAGACAGCTTACCTTTATATAAAATTCTTGATTAAGAGATTTCTTTTTTTTTTGTTTAGCAGTTTGAATCTGCCATCTCCTTGCATACTAGACTCCGTATTTTCTGATGAGAAGTTATAATTATTATTATTATTTTGTTGAAACGTTTTCTTTTTTTTTTTTTGTATTTAGGACAGGGTGTACAGGGTCTCACTGTGTAGATTGGACTCATTGTGATCCTCCTGTTTACCGCCTCCCAAGTGCTGGGATTACAGGGCTGAGCCACCACTCCCAGCCTCAAACTCACATTCCCCCCCCCTCCGGGGCGGGGCCCAGTCTCAAAGTCTCAACACGCGCTTGGGGCGGGGGCCAGCACAGCAGGCCTGGGGATTGAACTCCCAGCCACTGCATCTGCCTAAACAGGCCTTTTAATCTGAAGCTATTTGGCTGGCCCTTTTAAAAAATTTTATATATTTGGTACAGGGTCTCACTATGCAGCTTGGACTCATAGTGACCCTCCAGTTTCAGCCTCCCCAGCACTGGGATTACAGATGTGTGCCACCATGCTCGGTTTTGTTGGCCAGCTCAGCAGCATAGCATATGGTACCAGGGATTGAACCTGGGTCCTTGCACTTGCCAGCAAGGTGCTTAGACTGCTGAGCTATCTCCACAGCCTGAGAAGTTAGTTTTAAATCTAACTGGGTTTCCATTGTTTATAGTGCTTGTTTTTTTTCCCTTCTGCTTTCAAGGTTTTCTTTTTCTTCAGTGTTTTGACATTTTGACTATTACACATCTTGGTGTGGATCTCTTCATTTATCCATTTGGAGCTCACTGAATGTTTTGTGTACGTAGATTAATGTTTGTTATCAAATTTGGGACATTGTTAGCCTTAATTCCTTCAGATACTTTTTCTGTGTCTTTCTCTTTTAAAATTCATCATGTATATGTTACAATTGATGTTTCCCACATCTCTGGGCTCTTTTCATTTTTCCTTTCCTCCCTTTCAAATTGTATGATCTCTAATTTCCTGTCATGTTTGCAGCTGCTGCTGTTGCTGCTTCTTTTTCTTAATTATACAAATTTGCTTATATGATTGAACTTTCTAATTACTCATTTTAATTACTGTTTGTCAACCTCTAAACTTCATTTGATCTGACCCTGCTTTCCATACTGTCCTCCTTATGCATGTTCTTCACTTACTGAGACAGGCTATCATGCCTTCTTTTGCCTGAGAGGTTTTTTTTTTTTTTTCTTTTTCTTCCTGGAACTGAGGATTGAACTCAGGCCTTTGCACTTGCCAGGGAAGCGCTTATACCACTGAGCCATCTTCCTGGCCCTGTCATGCCTTCTTTTGTACTTCTCCTAATCATGGCTTTTTTTGATGGTTGTTCTTTGACAATTTTATAATGTCTTCCTCAAAGTTTTTATTTGCTTATATGAACATCTGTACTCTTTTTTTTTTTATCTGTACTCTTTTAAAGACTTTTTTGCCAGCTGTTTTTTTTTTTTTTCTTATGCTTGGACTTGCTTTCTCTTTCTTGCATGTCTCATTATTTTATGTTGAATTCTGAACATTTTAGTTAACATATCGCCAGGCATGGTGGCACACAACTGTAATTCCAGCACAGGAGGCTGAGGCAGGAGGATTGTTGTAAGTTCAAGACCAGCCTGGGCTACAAAGTGAGCTCAGGGCCATTTTGAACTGTACAGCAAGACCCTGGCTCCAAAAGACAGAAAAAACAAAAGAGATAACATATTAACTCTGAATATTGGTTTAATCTTTCTTCTCCTCATTCTATGTTACTGATTTTTTAAATGTATTTAGTACAGGTTCTACAGAGTCTCACTACACAGATTGGACTTGTAGTGATTCTTCTGTTTTCAGCCTCTTGAGAGCTGGAATTACAGATGTGTGCCTCCAGTCTCAATCAATGTCTCAGCGTGCCCTGGGGGTGGGGCTGGCACTATTTTACTGATTCTTAATTGGAAGTTAGTCAGAATACTTAAAGCTGTACCTGTATCATCTCAGTGCCTGCCTGGCAAGTGCAAGGATCCAGGTTTGATTCCTGGTATTGCATATCATGCCAACCACCCTGGACATGCTGTGCTGACTACCAAAACTAGGCATGGTGGCACATACCTGTAATCTTGGTGCTGGGAGGCTGAAACAGGAGGATCACTGTGAGACTGAGTTGCATAGCAAGAACCTGGACCAAATAAATAGATAGATGGCTTAAAAAATTTGTGCCTGGTATTGGACTATAAAGATAAAAAGTGACCACGATCAAAGATTTAGGTATTATGAAATCCAGTTTGTATGCTTGGTGGTCTTTTTTCCTCTAGCTGTTTATGAGTAAACGTTGAGGTCTTTGTTAACTGCAGTACTTACCTATTTATACTTGTGTTCTTTTTGTAGTAGTTTAGTTGGGTGTTTTTGGTGGTGCCAGTGATTGTATCCAGAGGCTCAAGCATGGTAGGCAAGCACCACCCCATGGAGTGAGGTCCCTCGCTTGTGTTGACATGACAGTGTGGCTAGTTCATGGTGCTGTTCTCCTTTTGTAGGTTACACCTGTGTTTGAAGATTGGATGAATATTGATTGGTATCGATTTTTTTGTTTGTGGGAGAAGTTGCCAACTTCTATGAAAAAGGTAGCAGAGCTGGTGGGAGTTGAAGAAGGGTTCTTGGCTCGCTGTGTGAAAGGAAAAGTAGTAGCCAGAACTGAGAGACAGCACCGACAAATGGCCGTGCACAAAAGGTAAGCACGAAGGAGCCTGCACTTGGTAGTGTTCAACACAGCACTTGGCATACAGCAGATGTCCAGTGTACTGTAGTCACATTCTCTGTTGAAGAAATGTATAATTTGGGCTGACTGTAGTCAGAAAATTGACTCCTCCTGTCTCAGCCTCCCCAGTACTGGGATTACAGGCGTGTGCCACCATGCCTAGTTTTGGTGGCCAGCACAGTATGTCCAGGGTGGCTGGCATTATATGCAGTACTAGGAATTGAACCTGGATCCTTGCACTTGCCAGGCAGGCACTGAGACTGATGAGCTTACCCAGTCATTTGGGTGATGTGGTGGTGCTAGCGATTGCGTCCAGAGACTCAAGCATGTTAGGCAAGCACCGTCCCACGGAGTCAGAAAGTTTTCAATTTCTTGTATTTACTAAATTTACTAATATTTGAATTTCTTCTTACAGCTTACAGTTTAGCAATTGTAACATGAAGCTCTTTTACAGTAGAATTTTATTTATTTATTTAGTGTAGAATTTGGGATTGTGCTTTCTAACAGCCTTGGGTCTGTGTCAGTACCAGCAGTGAAAAGATAAATAAAAGAGCTGGAGATAGTGGTTTATGTCAGTAATCTCAGCAGTTTAGGGGACTGAGGCAGGAGGATCGCAAGTTTGATCCCAACCTAGGCAATTTAGTGATTTAGACTCTACCTGAAGACGAAATGAAATGAAGTGAAATACGTGCTGGGGATATAACTCAGTATCAAGGCCCTGGGTTTAGTCCTTAATCCTGAAAAGAGAGAAAAAGATTGGGATGGGAAAACTATAGAAAAATTTACCTTCTTTGAAATACAGCAAAATGTTTTTCTTAGTACAACATTTATAATACAGTCAAATGCACATTTTATAAGGATTTATATCCTTGGATTACTTGAGTCAGTGTTGCCTTACAAATTAAAACTTGATTTTATAATCAAGTTCAGTCATTGAAATATGATTAGATGATCATGTAACTATGTATTAGGTCTTTTAAATCTTTGTGTTATCATCTTTTTTTGTACTATTTTCTTTTCTTTTTTTTGGTACTGGGAATTGAATTCTGGATCTCGCACTTGCTAGGCAGGCGCTGTGCTGCTGAGCTACATCCTGGGCCCATTAT